AGTAGTAAGTAGTCAGTCCGTCAGTGTGAGTATGCAGTAGTCTGTCTGAAGTGAAAGATGAGCTGTGAAGTGTGCATTGCGGTGAACAGTGGTGCAGTGGGTGAACAGCAGTCAACAGTCTGAAGTCTGCAGTGGAAGCTGAGCTGTGTGTATGCATCGCGGTCAACGCCAGTGCAGTGAACCCTGGTCTGCGCAGTGAATTGTGGTCTGCGCAGTGAATTGTCGTCAGCGCAGTGGACCGTAGACAGTGCAGCGGACTGTGCGATAGTGTAGAAGAAATGAACAGTGTAAATAAATAATCATATTGCAGTGAACAGTGTAAATAAATAATCAGAAGAAGTAAACTGTGTAAATAAATAATCAAAAGAACGGAGTCGTGTGTAAGAAAAATAATCAAGTGAAGAACACAAGGACTGTGAAATATATGAGTAAATAGTTCTAGTATTTTAGTGCAGCATTGATTACGAATAAACGTTGTTTTAAATATTGAGTGAGTTTTAATTCACTGCCGAGAAACGTTACATTATGTATATTACACCGTATATACGTATGTATAATGGAGAGTAAAAACAGCACATCTGGACAGAATTGGATATGAAAAACCGTGGTTAGAAGCTATTCTTACCAGTTGGCAAAATCATCTTTCTTTGATGTTCTTATGGATAAAGAGCTGATCAAGGATTGAAAGACAACTGTTGCATTTTTATTTTCTTTTGAAACAAAATCAAAATCTTCAAAATACACAATGATTAAATATGTTATAATAAAGTACACCGTAAGTGGCGGACTACCGGGTTCTTATTCGTGAGTGCCTTCATACACCGTTTTTCGTACATAAAAAGTCACATTCAAGATCTGAAACACATTGACCCTAAACCTGTCCCTTTTGGTGGAGTCAGCGAAGCGAAATAATTGCAAACATTGCAAACCTCTCTTTTCAGTATACACGTACTTGTGTGCGGAGAGCGAATGGAATGAGTGGAAAAAATGGGAGTTATTATGAGATGCTAAGTTCTAATAAACAATTAAATATCTCGAGAGCGGAAGTTGATAGCACCGATCGGATTGCGGTATTTTGTATTGGGTTTAAAGGGGATTCAGAGAAGACAATAAACAATTTGCCACATTCGCAAATTTATAAACAAATTTCAACTTTTGCGGATCTAGAGAGTCCCGATGTCACAGAACTGAACACAGCGAATTAACAATTGCAACAATTTACCAAATTCGTAATATGAGCCTCTGCGGGAGCGCGCCGTTTTCCGTGCCCGCGCCGCTGAGATATGACGGCACGGCGTAGCTCTCTCTGTACTAAGATTTATTTAAGCATGCACTTGACCTCAATCAGCTGTTCACGGTTTCATCCAATCGAGAGCTTGAACGTCCCCATAGTGAGGTCTCTGTATCGACAAATTAGCCCCCGGTTGGATGAAACACCACCGATTCCTCTTCGCGCGCCCGCTGCAGCGCGACGCAGGGCCGGATTTACCTACAAGCAAAACAAGCAGTTGCTTGGGGGGCCCCATTCACCAGGGGCCCAGCTTTTCGGAAAAATACGCATACCATATTTTTTGTCTGTGATATAATTGTTAATCAAGTAGTCTACTGTGTAACAAAATGTACAATTTCAAAACATTTTT